TAAAATAAACAAAGTGAACAGCGAAAAAGAGTCGACACATAATACATTTAATTAAAGATAATAGTCACAAATACATAAAATAAGAAGTAGAACGGCGTATATTAATATATAAAACAAACAAGTTTCGGCTGCTGGATTGAGCCCTCCTCAGATGTAAAATAAATGATGAATATAATAAAAGTAATAAAAGACTACATAAAAAAATAAATAATAAATAAATAAAGTTCAGTGTCGCAACATTTTTAACGCGCGGAAATCAGCAATTATGATGGATCTCGACGTAGCCTAATGTTGTATATGCGATGGGGCAGTCAAAACGATGTTAAGATACATAGTCAAATGCTAACTGAAAAATCGGAAAAGGAAGGGAACTCATAAGAAACAAGCAAACTTAAAAACTTAAAAACTAGACACGCCGCAGTTAAGAAGCAAAGTGCTCACTCACCAATGCACCCGAACAAGCAAATGAGAACCACTGTATAACAGGTGTAAAAACGCACGGCGATGATAGGGTTGTAATCGTCGAAGTCGGACAGATGTCAATGTCGCACATGACACCGACCGCTCGCTAAAACGGAACGTGACACACTGAGAGAGGAGACGGGTTGACAGGATCGAGAGTCAGACTTTGTTTATAAATGTCAGATATGCCTTATTAAGATCTTCGGTGTCCGTAAATTAAGACTGTTCCTATGTTTTTTAATACGTAGCATCTCCGAAATCAAACGCTTTCTATACGAAGGCTCTTCGTCTAATATCAGAACATTGTCCCATTGGAAATCGTGATTGTGACGCAACCTATGATCGGTGATGACAGAGCGGGCAGAAGCTTTACATATGTCTAATATGATTACGATGTTCGGCAATCCTGGTTTTTAATTGCCTGCCCGTCTGTCCAACATAAGAAGCATCACAATCATTGCACAAAATTTTATAAACAACATTGCTTTTCGATGTACTATAAAAAAAATGTTTTAAACAAAAGTTGTACGATTTCAAGAGTACTTTAAAGTTATAAAGAAAAAAGAATTTTTTTTTATTTAACAAAATATCACTATCATCCGTAATTTTCTTAAACTTTCAATTTTTTTTTAACAAAGTAAAGATTATTTTTTTACAAATTCAACCATGTGTAATAAAGTTACATTACGACATATCATTTCCGAGAATTAATTATTAATGCTTTGATATATACGCTATCCATATATAAGTAATTGTTAGGAACGATAAAATACATAAATCAACAAATAAGAAAATTCACATGATTGATATTTGTAACATTACAAATTATAACTAATGTTAAGAGTCATAATATTATTAATTTTTATTATTTCTCCTTAAAGTGAGTAAAACTTTTTTATTTATCTCTGTACATTATTTCCTTATAATATATATCTTAAAATTATTCTCTTAAATTATTTTCAGTTTTACGCTTTAATATCTACTTGTCACGGAGACGGCGCCCCCGTAGAGTGTATTGTGCAATCTATGTATATCATCAACAACACACTCATATATTATACTATACAACCAATAATATCGTGTAACGAAAATTTGCTGTCACCTTTATTCATTGTGTGGCGACAATTATCGCCACGATTATATATATAAGACAAAAATGCATTGTATTTTAAAGAAAGGCACGCATACTGTTTTTCGCACAGATCGTTTACGAACGCGGATAATATTGCTTGAACACACAGTATTTCGGTGAAACAATAGAGGCATTTAAATGCCTCTGCTGTTTCTTGTGACAGGTCACGAATTTCCTTCTGTGTATCGTGCCGAGAATGACGAAGAAATGCACGTACAAATAATAACGAGAAATTATTAATTATTATCTTCCGCGGGTTAAATGGTTTATTTTTTTAAAATATGAATATGAGGATCTAAGAGAAACGACCTGCGGAAATAATATTGTGAGACGAAAAAGGTTCGAGAAGGTTCGAGAAAGTTGACAAAACATCGAGCGTTTTGGCGAGAGACAGAAAGATTCGACTGTGAAACTCTGAAGAGACAGGACGGCTGTACAGAGTAAGGAAAATAAAACAGACTTGAGAAGAGAGCTTCGAGTCGTTGCATTGTAGGGGAGACTGGGGCTAATAGACTCATTTTTCGGTTTCGAATTTTTACAGACGAAATTAAAAGACTTATTGAAAAAATGAATTCTACACCAGTTACTATATACATTTGACTATCTAATAATATTTTAATAATAAAGGGAAACTGATAACTAATATGAAAAAAATGCATTTTTCTAATGCGTTCCATCTGATTTAACTAACCCCGGGACCGGGGTAATCCCCACATAAACAAAAAAACTCTGTTGGATTTTATTAACTAAGAACTATCTAAACTTACTATCTAAACAGAAATCACAAATCTTAGACTATTATATACGATTGTAAAACAAAAATTTTAAGAATAAGAATATTTACTTAGGTGTACGATTTTTTAAAATTGTGGCATAATTTCTATCATAGATATGTTGTCAACAAGATGTTACGGTAGACTGAGCGGCAGTCGCTGCTGCGTGCTTAGACACGTTTACGCATGTTTCGCGTGTTTTGTTTTTAATGTAGCCTCGATTATTCTACTTACTCTTATAGTCAACTGACCCCGATCTCCCCTACATATCACCGCTACAGATATGAATCCTCGCCTAAAATCCTCGAACTCCTTTACACGCGCAACGGACACTAAAGTGATTCTTCCGACGTGATTAAAAGAGAATCAATCTTGTTTTATTTTATTGGCGAGTTTGAAATTTTCTTTTACAGTAGATTGCGAGTTCCAAGCCGCTGAAATAACCGTTGACGTTACGAAATTTGGATATGCGTTAACTGCAATTGGGCCGCGTTATATAGCCGAGGTCCGCGATATAATTATGAATCCGCCCGCGGAGCGTCCATATGAAATATTAAAAGCAGAGCTCATAAAACATTTGACCTTATCACAAGAGCATAAGACTTTTACTTGAGCACGAAGAAATCGGTGATAGAAAATCATCGTAGCTTTTGTGACATCTTCGTAGTCTCGCGAGGATCAGGTCATCGGGGATTAGGTTTTGAGAACAATCTGGTTAAGCCGGCTGCCGGCATACATTCAGCCGCATTTGGCTGGTTACCCGGACGGCGGATACAGTCGATCAATTCGCGGACGCGATCGTGGAGGCCACCCGCGCACCGGCTTTTCAAATTGCTGAGGTTACACGGGCAATGCAATTCAAGGTGCAAACGATGCAGCTTCAGTCGAAGCGTAGTTAGAAGTAAGGTTGGCACAGTTGCGACTGTCCCTGCAGCAGGAGATGGCGGAGCGATTGACGGCTCTCCGAAGATCGATCGAGGCGATCGACGCGGATCGGCCTCGCCGGGACCACGACGGTGATCGGGGGCGGATGCACTTCGCGTGATTGTAGTCACCCGGCAAATGGGTTTTGCTGGTACCACTGACGTTTTGGATCAGATGTCCATAAGCGCGTACCACTCTGCTCGACGCAACAGCAGAAAAATGCGACGGTCAATAGCTAATGGCGGCAAACGATACAGGCCATTTGACGCGCCATCTTTTTGTGATGGACGATGCGACAAAGACCTTATTTTTAATGAACACAGGAGCGCGGATCTTTGAGTGTACCCGCGGAAGATGGTCTGCTGGTCACGTCAGAGATCGACCTACAAATTTTCGGCGGCTAACAGCTCGACAATAAACACATACGGCATCGAGACAATGACTTTGAACTTCGGATTGCGGCGCGCATTTACGTGGCGGTTTGTTATAACGGATGTATCAAGGTCAATTATCAGTGCCGATTTTTTGTCTTATTATGGTCTTTTCGTGGAATTACGGAACTCTCGTCTCGCATCGACTAGATCACAAGTTTATCCTTTCCGGGGCGCTGTTTGCGATGCGATACACTAAGTATTAAAACCGTAGTGGGCGCGATGCCGTATCACATATTGTTAGCCCAATACTCGGAGATAACGAAACCCGAAGGACAGCCGAGTGCGGTACGACATATGACGCGGCCTCAAGACAACACCGGGATCACCAGTAGTGCAAATCAGATTCGCAGCGGAGCATTTGGCGGCCGCAAAGAGCGAGTTTCGGAAGATGGCGGAGGCCGGGATCGCGCGATCTTCGAGGGAATGCTGCTCGTCGCCTTTACACCTGCTGCCAAAGAGAGAAGGAAAATGGCGACCTTGCGGAGACTATAGAGCATTAAACGCGCGAACAGTCCCGGATCGGTATTTTATGCGACACATCGAGGATTTCGCGCAGGTATTACAAGGTAAAACGATCTTTACGACCCTCGATCTCGTGCGAGCGTACCATCAGATCCCGATAACAGGAAGACATTCCAAAGACGGCCATCACTATGCATTCGGCATGTACAAATTTAGATACATGTTGTTCGGTAAGGAACGCGGCGCAGACGTTTCAGCGATTCATCGATGATGAGGTTCTGTGCGATTTCGATTTTTGTTACGCGTACATAGATGATATCCTCATTGCGTTGGTGTCGACGGAGGAGCACCAGGAGCATCTGAAAAAGATTTTCGAGAAGCTGTAGGAGTATGGGATTATTAACCTCGCGAAATGCGTATTCGGTCAGTCAGAGGTAGAATTCCTGGGTTACCTCATAACTGGAGAAGGAACCCGTCCGCTGGCAGTGCCAGTCCAAGCAATACGCGATTATAAGAGATCGGAGACAGCGAGGGATCTGAGGAGATATCTCGGCATGATATGGCAATTTTTACAGGCGGTTCTTGCCGGGGATCGCGAAGACGTTAATGCCGCTCAACGATCTCCTGCGCGGGAATAAAAAAGGAAGGATGCCTGTGTCATAGACGCCGCGTCATAGGCTAAGTTCGAAACATCGAAGAAGAAACTAGCGGAGGCTGCCCTTCTGGCGCACTCGAAGTTTGGCGCCGAGTTCGTACTGTTTACCGACGCGTCCGAACACAGCATCGGTGCGGTGTTACAGCAGCGGGGCGACAACGGTTGGAAACCCTTAGCGTTCTTTTTGAAGAAACGAAGCCCAGTCAAAACAGCGCATTTGATAGGGAGCTTCTAGCTATTTATCTCGCTATTAAACATTTTCAATGTGTGTTGGAACACACATCGTGTGTCACGTTCACAATCTACACGGATTACAAGCCGCTGACGTATCAGCAGAAGCACGAGAGGAGTACACCGCGTCAGTTCCGCCACCTTGATTTCATTGACCAGTTTACCACAGATGTCTGGCATGTCGCGGGCGTAGATAATGTCGTGGCGGACACACTATCAAGGATCTGAAGAGCTGATGTCACCTTTGGACTATGCTGCACTAGCGGAGTCACAGAGATGATAAGTTCGCGAGCTACTTGCACCGAGAGTCCGGTTTCAAACTATTGTAGAAAAATTGACGATCCGAAGCGGGAGTACTGTAACGTGACAACGGAAACGCCGCGACCATTCCTGACGAAGCCTTTTCGGCGGACTGCTTTCGATCTGGTCCACAATTTGGCTCACTCGGATGTTAGGACGACGGGCAGGCTCGCAGCACAGCACTATGTCTGATCGTCCATGAGAAAGGATTGCCGCAGTTGGCTCACGCCTACGTGCCCTGCCAAAGGTCAAAGGTGTCTCGTCACGTTCGGCATCTTGGAAAAATCGCTGTACCATCAAGGCGATTTTAACATATCCATATAGACATAATTGTAATGCCAGTCTCTGAGGGCAAGCGTTATTGCTTAACATGTGTCGACTATTTTACGCGATGGCCAGAGGCATTCGCGATGAGAGATCAGGAGGCTGAGACGATATCAAGGACATTGTACGAAGGTTGGATCTGCCATTTTGGAGTGCCCCTCAGGATCACCACGGACCAGGGGCGCCAGTTTGAGTCTCATATTTTCCAGCGCCTGAATGAACTTTCGAGGACGCTGCACTTGAAGACGGCATACTGCCCACAGACGAATGGCATGGTCGAATGATTTCATCGCAAATTGAAAACAGCGATTAGATGCCAAGAAAGCAGCCGATGGATCGAGGTGTTTTCCACGGTTTTGCTAGGCATATGAGAAGCCTGGAAGGAGGACCTGCAGGCAACTGTGGCAGAGCTAGTGTATGGAGAGATACTGCGGCTTCCGGAACAGTTCTTGAGTCGGTGGACAGTGCGGACGACGTCATTGGTTTTGTGAGAGAGCTGCGAAATTATTTCGACAAGTTACGCCCGATGGAAGCATCATGGCACGGAGAACGACGGCCTTTCATATATAAGGATTTGACGATGACAGAGAGAGTGTTTGTCCGGCACGATGCACCAAAAACGACATTGCAGTCAACCTACGACGGACCATATTCGGCCATCAGCCGTGGAGAAAAGAGTTTCGTCGTACTTGTTCACGGCAGAAATACAACAATTTCCATCGACCATTTAAAGTTAGCTTATATTATTGCAGGTAAGTCGGAAAGAGAAGGTATGCCGGGATGTGTTGGCAGGCCGTCCGGACGGAACAATAACACGCAAGACGTTGATCCCAAGCGTGCCGAAAATCCGCCGCCTTCTTCGGATCGACTGGAAGCTGGAACGACGAGAAGTGACAGAAGAGTGCGTTTCCCGGACTGTTTTTAAGCAGGTCTGAGATAGCAAAAAATTGTTAGCGTGTCATAATTTTACTTTATTTTATATTTGTATTATTTTACTTTTATCTCTTCGGACTCTCCTATTTTTTTGTACTTTTTTATGTATTTGTATTTATTATTGTATGATAGACTGACGACCATTATTATTATTTTTTTTTAATTTTTATTTTACGCATGCGAGCCGTTGAATAATTATGTTATTTACGTATTAAATTTATGGAGTGCAGATGTACAGGCAATACATACAAACGATAATAGATCCATCTTAATTTGATCTTATTTTTTTTCTTTTCTGTTTCGTGACGTAAATCACTGGCACGAGGGTCCTGTGGCGATAATTATCGCCAGGATTATATATATAAGACAAAGATGCATTGTAAAAGAAAGGCACGTATACTGTTTTTCGACATACGGGCCGTTTACGAACGCGGACAATATTGTCTGTACACATAGCAGTTCGGCGAAACAATAGAAGCATTTAAATGTCTCTGCTGTTTCTTGTGACAGGTCAGGAATTTCCTTTCTTTGTATCGTGCCGAGAATGACGACGAAATGC